TTTATCTATCAATCATCCATATATGCTCATCAGACAAAAATAGCTGACATTTATTGAGCACTCAGCACGAGGTGGGTACTCTGTCATATATTTAACACGTATCATCCCATTCAGTCCTTGCTATTTACGGCAAGCGCTAATTTGTGGTCAACTTATGTAGGCAAAAGCTGAGGTTCAGAGAGGCAAAAGAAGGTGCCCCGGGTCCCACAGCAATTAAGTGACTGCATTAGAACTTGACAGGCTAGTGTGCTCTCACTAGGTGGCCTCTAGACAAAGGCTGGACCAGGACTCCCAGAGGCACGGTAGTTGTTAACACAGAGGCAGAGGGGGCTGCATGAACTCTTCCTGTCACACACTGTCAAGGCCACCTACAACATTACTCCTCATTTGTTTGTGTTTATGGACCCCTCCTGGTGTTAGGCACGCTGCTGATATGTATGGGAGAAATGGACAGAAACTGTCTCTTCCCTCTAGTAATTGGAACAGTGGTGGCCAAATGGAAAGAGAAGAGACAGGAATCTTGATCACATGACTGTAACACGAATTGCTAAATGGTCTTATTAATAAAAAACCTGGAGCCAGATATTGGGGTGAAAGATGAATGATCAGAGGGATAGAACAAGCCATCCACCAGTTCTTACCACAAGGAAATCCTCAGCCCAAGAGAGAGCTACTTCCTGTATATCCATGCCTATATGCCTTTCTGTACCCTGCCATCTTACTTCATCTCTCCACCCAACTACATCACTTCCTCTTTCTGCCCAGCTCTATCACTGTCTGTACAGACCTCCAGACCTCTATGGTTAACTAGCGCTGAGATTAAAGGCATGTGCTACCATGCCTGGCTCTGTTCCCAGTGTGGCCTTGAACTCACAGAGATCCGGATGAATCTCTGCCTCCCGAATGCTAGGATTAAAGGTGTGTGCTACCACTGCCTGACCTCTGTGTTTAATATAGTAGCTGGCTTTGTCCTCAGATCCCCAGGCAAGCCTTATTTGTTAGAGCACAAATAAAATATCACCACACATGACCACACTTTATTTAAAAAAAAAAATGGAGATGACTGCACCCCTGAGCCTCATGGATTGAAATTACAATTTTTTTAAAGATCTATCTATCTATCTATCTATCTATCTATCTATCTATCTATTTTATTTAATGTGTATGAATGTTTTGTCTCCATGTGTATAAGTACCATGTGCATGCCTAGTGCCCCCAGAGGTCAGAAGACAGCATTGGATCCCCTGGGACTGGAGTTACAGACAGTTGAGTTGCCACATGGGTGCTGGAAATTGAGCCAGGTTCTCTGCAACAGCAGCAAGTGATCTTAACCCCTGAGCCACCTCTCCAGCCCCTGAAATTATCATTTTACGTGGTAAGCTAAGTAAAATACATTACTGCATAAATATGATTGAGGAACTGGACACTCATCGTCTGCCTGTAAGACTCTGAGACCCTGCTCTCTCACCCGGAGCAAGAGTTCTGTGCTCTGTACTCCAGGTGCAGCTGTTGAGGCCTGGTTTCTCTCTCTTCACGTGTCTCTCCCTGCAGCCCACCACTCACTCAGACTCTTGTCACAGTGGACCTCCCTAGGAGGAATCTACAGTCTTGCTCACTGTCGTTGGTCCTCAACCAAGGTCATGGCTTAGGCCATCAATGGCTGTCCTTGGGTGTCTGTGTTTCCCTGTGCCCTTGGGTCTACTGAGCTATGGTCAGGGTAAAGGAGAAGTGGAGTTGGCAGGTGTACAGCTTGGCCACAAGGTATGCCCAGGCTGGTGCTAACTGCAAACCCTGGCCAGACCCAGCTGCCACCTGTACCTTAATGGTTGGCAGAAATTAACAACCAGAACAGCTCCTGTGGCCTCAGACACTGTGACCTTCCCAGATAACACTGGGTCTGGTCTCCATAAGGAGGGCTTTTCTCCATCCTGGTCTACACTGTGATAACACTCACACAGGCTACAGTGATGCCCAGAGGCAAGAAAGAGAAGCCCACTTATCCCCATCCCGTCGCCTAGGTGACTTTCAGTCTACCCAGTGCAAACTGCCACTCCTCCAGACTTCCTGGTCTGTCTCCCTGCTTCAAAACTTTTCCCTTGCCCTTCAGCACGTTAGTTCTTCTGTCAATGGCATGCCCCTGTCCCCGACAAGGTCAGTTCTAGGAAAGAAAAATCTGCTCTTTGATTTGTTTGCTCTGCCAAGTCCTAGAACTGCCTGCATAAATGGTATGGGATGTGACCCGGGAGGGGTAGAGGGTGCCCTTCCTGGAGGAGGTGACATTGCTCAACCAGCTGCCCAGTGGAGGACACAGTGAAAGAACACATTCAGAACTAGACACAGAGGGGCTGGGGGCTGGGGTGCTCATGGGAGCTTACTGTACAAGGGAAAGGTAGAGGGCTGGCTTGGGAGAAAAGGGGGGGCCTCACTTGTGTCCTCTGCTGGGTGAGAGTCAGGCAGAGAGAGAGAAGCTAAGAGCAAAAGGAAGATCCAAGAGGCTGGGCCAGATAGGGATCACTCAGTTTGAGTTGGGAAGAGCTGTCCTTTACTGAGGGCTGGCTATGGAGACCTGTACTATGCTCTCTGACACATTCTTTCACTGACTGTCTTAGCCGCTTTTCTGTTGTGATAAAACACATGCCCAAAGGCAACTTAAGGAAGAGAGTGCTAATTGACTCATGGTTCCAGAAGAGGAACAAGCATCCTTTATGTGTCAGGCGGTGGTGGCACCACGTCTTTAATCCCAGCACTTGGGAGGCAGAGGCCGGAGGACCTCTGTTTGAGTTTGAGGTCAGCCTGGTCTACAGAGTGAATTCCAAGATAGTCAAGGCTACACAGAGAAACCCTGTCTCAAAAAAAAAGAAAAGAAAAGAAAAGAAAGAAAGAAAAGGAAGGAAGGGAGGAAAAGAAAGAAAAGAAAAAGAAAGAGTCCATTATGGCAGGAAGGCACGGCAGTGGACAGCAGGTGTGGTGGTAGGAACATCAAGCTCAGAGATCACATCTTGAAGATCAAGCAGAAAGCAGAAAGCAAACTGGAAGTGAGGCAAGATTTCCAAACTCTCAAAGCCCACCCTCAGTGGAAACCTCCTCCATCAAGGCTGGACCATGCCCCCATAAGCTCTCCAAACAGCTCTACCAACGGGGGACCAAGTGTTCAAACGCCTGAGCCTATGGGGGACATGTCTCCTTCAAACCATCACACCTCCCTTCACAGCAGCCGCTTCACACCAGGACGTGCAGAAGGAAGCAGGAGATGTAGACTCCACCCATCAACCAGTCTGAAACGCTTGTTAGGAAGCAAATATTGAGGACTGGGGAACGAAGCCACTTAAGCAATCATGCCGCATATCCCCGGGGCCCTGACTCCTCTCCAGCAACCCCTCAAACTCCCTCTTCCCTTTTCTCCATCTCCCACAGAGCACAGACTAAGCAGGGTACCAGGGAGCCCCCGAGAGAAGTATTTGAGAGGGAGAAACACTAGGGAAGAGGGGTAGACATTGCTCTCAATGGCTGATGGGAGGCCATGAGCAGGGACAGTACCTGTTAAGGGAAGAGGGCCATCATTATCAAGGCACCAACCAACAGCAAAACTTCAGTGAAGACAGTGGACTCAGAAATAGGAGGGATTTTGTACATATGGAAGAAAATGCACTAATTTCTCACTAAAAATAAGGGGTAGTTTGAGACTGGCCAGAACATAGGATAGGCTGGGAAGATTTTCCAGGAGGCCAACAGGATGGCTCCAGAGAGAAATGAAGGAAAAAGCACAATCAAGGTGGAGTGGACTCTTCCGCCTAACACTCCCTCCTCCCAACTCTGGGGACCTGGCTGCCTGTTTCAGCCTTGGCCCCAGTCAGGGTGGCTGATGTTCAGTGGAAGGAGTATGCCAGGCTACTCTCCCCTGTGTCCTGGCCTCGGGGAGAGTTCTCCTGTGTAGAAGGTATCTGAAACATAGGGGCAGAGAAACAGGTGGCCATTGTTGTCACAACTGCTACTGACGGTCATCTCCAAAGACCAGACATGTGTCACGGTAACAGAAATGCCTTTGCCCACTATGCCCTCAAGTTCTTTGAAGGCAGGCTTGAATAATGACGGCCCCCTATAGGCTTATATATTTGAATGTAAAGATTAGAAGGCTTAGATGTGGCCTTGTTGGAGTAGGTATGGCTTTGTTGGAGGAAGTGTGCCACTGGGGGTGGGCTTTCAGGTTTCAAAAGGCCACGCTGGGCCCAGTGTCTCTGTCTGCTGCCTGTGGATCAGGATGCAGCTCTTAACTACCCCTCCAGCACCATGCCTGCCTGCATGCCACCATGCTTCCTGCCATGACAATGGACTAAACCTCTCACTCTGAAGCAAGCCTCAGTTAAATGTGGTGGAGTTGTGGTGGCCATGGAGTCTCTTCACAGCAACAGAACAGTGACTGCGGCAATGGCTCCCTTTCACCTAGAGCTCAGGGTCCTCCTCCTTTCTCAAGGCCTTCAGCCCCGACTCCAACTCTGTCCACCCGAGCTTCCTTCTCTTTTTTAAAGCCCAAATGTTCCTCAGCCAAGTCACGTCTCACAGCTCCCTTCTCTCCCAAGCCCCAGCCCCAGCCCCAAGACACACCTCTAATGCAACCTCCAATCTGATTCTGCTTCACGGGTCCCCAATCAAGTCTTAGAAAAGTGCCACCAAGTGTGACTCCTCAGTGAGTCACACTTGCTGGTGCAGCGGGGTATCTGTAAACAAAAGCAGGTAAGAACAAGCAGCAGGCATGCTTCAAAATGTACTAAGGTGGGGAAGAGGATGGTGGCCCAGGGCATAGGAAACTTCAAGGTGTGGATCTAAAATCTCACCTGGGAACAGGCAAGAAGGCACAGAGCCTGGCCACAGGAGACTTGGCTGGAATAAAGGAAGCCAAGGCTTACACGCCATGACTGTGGTGGTCTCTGCGACCACCAAGGCCAACAGAGAAACGTCTGAGTGAGGCAAGAAGGCAGTGCGATTCAACACGACTCAGTAGCTGGTGTTGGTTCAACTTTAGTAAGCAATACATCAGATATTCTTTTTCATCTAGCTCATTTATACAGTTATAATTTCCACTATCAGAGCTTTCTAAAGAGTACTTGATCATGCTAAAATCTATATTATTACATTTGTATTAAAAACCAAAATATCCCCCATCATGAATGTGACTAGATATTTGTATACCCTCTTTTGTCCAGACAACTGGTCCCAAAGGATAAAAACAGTTTTTAGCATGGTAAAACATCATACTCTCTCTTATCACAGATGTGCCTTTTGTCCCCCCGACAAAAGGAATTTGGATTCTGCACTGACAAAGCTGAGAATTAACATGTAATATAGCCAGTAAACATAATTGTTTTGGGGGGTCAGTAGTATTATGTCCTTGTTGTTTCCCCAAAGTCTTGGCTTGACAAGTTAAAGTCTTGATGTCTCCCCAAGTTATCGGCTCACTCTTCCTCTTGGGACATCTCCTTTTGATGGCTCTGTCGCCTGTCTCTGGACACTTGGCTTGTCTGCTGGTCTCCGGGATGTCGTCCTCGTTGGATGTGTCAGGGCAGCAGCCATCTGGGACTTCATTTATTTTCTGTAAGATATAAGCATAACCTCGCCTCGGTGTTAGAACACCGGGCCCTTTCCATTGATTAGTTTTTAGATTTTTTTTTTAAAACCCATACTTTAGGTTGTATCTCCTTTAGGGCAAAATGCTTTAAATTCTTTAAAGTGGAAAAAAAAATAAAGTTAGTATAGCTAAATGTAGCATAGTATGTGGAGATTTAAAGTTGTGTATCAGTATTTGGTGTTTAGTTTATTTATTTATTTATTTATCTATCTATCTATTTATCTATCTATCTATCTATCTATTTATCTATCTATCTATCTATCTATCTATTTATCTATCTATCTATCTATCTATCTATCTATCTGGAGAGACAGCCGTGGGTGCTGGGGATGGTGTTGTTTTATAATAGTTTGACCCTGTTGATTGTAAGGGATTTCAGTAACACGATTAATACTCCATAAATTGTGAAAAATTTTAAAGTTTTTCCTAGTATAAACAGGTCCATTATGTTTTTAGTTGTAATGGGAGTCCTAGGAAGGAAATGTTTAAAGAGCTATTTGATAAATAAAGTTCTAGATATGATCCAATGGTGTTTTCCTGGAGCCCCCAGGACCCCATGTCATGCCTGGGGTTGTGCTCTGCAGCTGACCGGGTAGGGAGAGGCACTGTGTATGCCTTTGGTGCACACTGAGCACAGGTCCCTACACACAAGACAGTAGAGAAGGCCCTAGACACAGACAGCCTAGTTCTAGATGTCATGCTGATGTGAGAACCACTCACTACTAACTATGCACTAGAATACTGTGTAGAATAAGCCTTCAATAGAGGGCAGGCTCTCACGAGCCTCCTCTAACTTCCTCCCTGGTTAAGGGCCTGATCATTTATGTCAGACCAAGGGCAAGCACAAACCTAAAACATAAGTAGAACCTACTTAATTCACAAAGGGCATTAACTTTCAAAGGTTTAAACCTAAGGCTATTTATGTAAGATTTGGGATCTTTAAAATTCAGGGCAATTTTAGTTTTGAGTTCGAGAAGACTTTCCTATTAGGTAACAGGATATTCAGAAGTACCTGAGAAACAATCACAGAAAATCCTGAAGGAGAAAACAATTGGGTTTTCCTATGTGAGCATGAAAGTACATACCCAGCTGATACTGTAAACAAAACAAAAATGTGAACATCACCCAAGCATATGGGTTCCATGGAGGAAGAACTCTCCAGAAGGCTCTAGTTCTCACTACATTTCACAGATTCTCAGTCTGGACCAAAAATAATTTTAGGTGAAAACTTTAAAATCTAACTCACACTGATTGCATTTCTAGTTTAACTCCTTCTGCCCTCCAAGGAAATGTGAGAAACATGCAATTATGTTTTCAGTCCTTGGCCACCATGTTATCCAGAAGAAATATTCTAAAACATTTTTTGATTCCAATTTGCCCCTATTTTTTCCCTTAAATCCATGTTAAGCTTGTTCACATTGCTATTTTTAATTTTTTTGTTATGCTGTACCAAAATTCAAATTTAAAAAATGATATTTTAGCAATCATAAATCCAGAGGAATCTAGGTGGTGTTTGGTCTCTCAGTGCCTGAAAGGCCTGAAGTGAGAAAGTCTCCTTTTTTTATGTAAAGACAAGATAAAATTCCTTATTTTGCTAAGGCTGTGAGTACATCATTAGATGGATGCTCTGAGTTCCATCAGACTGAGCATGCCCTGACCAAGCCTGTCTGGGTGACCTCCAGGAAACCAGAGTAGCAGCGGAGTCCACTTGGCCTGCAGAGAAAACAGAAATTCTTTTTTCAATGATCCTCCTGAGAATCCGGGCAATATATTGGTGTACTCCAGCTTGCAAAATAATTGACAGGAATTTTATCTCCTCTTTTATGGGCCCTTTTTACCTTAGCTCCTATGCATTTCCAATTTTCTTTTTGGTTTTTCTCAACCGGGTTTTTCTCTGTGTAGCACTGACTATCCTGGAACTTTCTCTGTAGACCACACCTTCGGGCTGAATTTCCAATGTTCAACATCAATAGTTTCTTGTTCAGGAAGCCAAGGACTGAATTTTGCAGACACTTGTACCAAGCTGCGAAGCTGTTGTTCTGAATATTTTGTTCCTTTGGATCTTAACAAACATCTCAGTAATTGTATAAAATGCTTTGTCTCAAGAGGATTGAAAAGAAGCCATGCCTATTTTACTTTCTCACTTACCGTTATGACCTCTTGGGTGAATGCACCGAACTCCTACTCTTATTCTATTAAAAGAAAAATCTTACCTTCTCGCAGAGTTGAGTCCCTTCTGTGGGTCGCCAGTTGTGGGGGGTCTCTGCAGACACCACAGGCAGCAGAGTAATGATCCAAATGAGGCAAAAGGGCAGTCTAGTTCAACATGACTCAATAGCCAGTGTTGGTTCAAACTTTTATTTGATTTTATTTGACTTTATTGTATTTTCGAGACAGGGTTTCTCTGTGTAATCCTGGCTGTCCTGGACTCACTCTGTAGACCAGGCTAGCCTCTAACTCAAAGATCCACCTGCCTCTGCCTCCCAAGTGCTGGGATTAAAGGCGTGCGCCACCACCGCCCGGCAAAGTGTTGGTTCAAACTTCAAGAGTCTGACACCAGGTATTTTACTTTAGGTATATTTAAGCACATCACACAATACATCAAAACTCTTTGTAAGGTACATGTTGACATCCCCAGAAAGATGGGTTCTATAGAATGACTACACACGACATCTTTTTAAAATTTTTTATTTATTTGTTTCTGGTTTTTTCGAGACAGAAAGTTTCTCTGTGTAGTCCTGGCTGTCCTGGACTCACTCTGTAGACCAGGCTGGCCTCGAACTCAGAGATCCATCTGCCTTTGCCATACAAGTCCTGGAAGTAAAGGCATGCACCACCACCACCCGGTTAGTTGACTGCATTCGACATCTTAAGGGTCTGGGGGAGGCTCTGGCACGGTCTTGGTCATACAGATAGCACAAAGGTCAGCGGAATATTAAACATCTCCACTCCCAGCCTTCTGGGTGGAAAACAGTTATACGTCTCTCCCTTTGAAGAGACAACACTGCGCGTTTAATATTCCTGATTATCCCTGGTGCTCACCTGTGAGAACAAGGTCCTTAGGGCCACATGGCATTCTGTGGCTCTAAGGGGAGTGCCAGAACCTGTTTGAAGGGTCTCTAACTTTGGTCCCCAAGTCTCCAGAGTCAAGGCCCTTCCCTCTGAATACTCACCAAAGTAAAAAGATGTTCCTTGATGGTGAACCAGTGGCAGCAAGGTCTGAAGGCATGTTGTGTGGCAGCGACCTTGCTCTCCACGCTATGTGGCACCTTCGGACACCACCACCATAGCCTAAGGCAGAAAATCAGGCAAGGCTAGCAACTTATAATTTCCTCTTCAGAATGCATATTCTGATCCAGTAGTCTGGCAATGGCTCACCTGGATGAGACTCGTGCAGGCGATCGTGATGAGATGGTTAGTGCCTGCGATGTCCTCCTGATTTGGTCTTTCCATACCGATGTCAGTGAGAATGCTCCTAATTAATGGGGGATAAAGAGTCAACACGAAAACATGTCCTATTCGTCTAAAACAGCTCCATACAGGACAACTGATCAGTCATATAAATGGCGGAGACACAGCTCGGAGGCTCACTCTCAGGGCTCCTCCCACCAACGTCCCTCCATCCAGCAGCCTTCCCTACGTGCCGTCATGAGTGGCCTGCACCTCAACCTCAAAGTCCATCTCTCTCGTGCCTCCTCCTAAAACAAATCTCCTTTGTCCATTGAATCACATTTCTTCAAAGGCCCACTCAGGCACACCAAACCCATAAGATCATTTCTGCCGGGCATGATGGTGCACGCTTTTAATCCCAGCACTCTAGAGGCGGAGGCAGGAGAATCTCTGTGAGTTCAAGGCCAGCCTGGGCTATAAAGCGAGATATAGGACTACAAAGAGAGACTGTCTCAAAAAAAAAAAGAAAAGAAACAGAAAAAGATAGTTTCTCTATGAAACCCTTCTAGTGGTGAGTACATATCACCCATTATGTGTAATTCACCCTGGCTTTTCTAAAGTGTCAAAACCTTGGTCTCTGATAGCAGGGAGAGCAGCTGAGAAGGCCAAGTCAAAATATCTCCTATAAAGGCATGGTGGCACACGTCTTTTTTAATCCTAGCACTTGGGAGACAGAGGCAGGTGAGCCAGAGCTATGTAGTAGGGCCAGGTCTCAAAGTGGCAGAACGAAAACAAGATGCCTCGCATCATGGCTCTTACACAGTAGCCCATGTCCTACAGGGAGGGCTGAAATGTTGCACAGGTAAGAAGCAGGAGTGTGTGAAAGCGCCAGCATTTGAGAGGGATAGGGGAGGACCCTTCAAACACGGGAAATGGCTTTCAGCAACTCCTCTCCCTGCATTATGGATGACCAGAGCACAGGCAGCCCGTGGTCACTTCTAAATGCAGGTCCGTACACAGGAACAGACATCAGGCCAAGAAGAGGTGCAGATGCCAGAGGCCTGCAGCCTGAGTCCAGGAAAAAAGCCCAGCCAAGCACAGGCTCCCACAGTGGTCCTTCTTTCCTACAAAAGCCCCATAAAGCCTCACGGTCCCTAGGCTGAGACACTGGGAACTAGCAGGGATTGGGACAGACATATGCTCTCAAGTGGAACGAAAGTCATCTCTGTCATCCTTTTATTTTTCAAATACTGAAAATCAAGTTCTGAGTCTGTCTTTGCCCGAGAGTGACAGACCCAGTTTCCCCCACCCCCCATCTAGTCTATTCTTATATCATCACTCAAAGCCCTTGGCAACATGCATAGTGCTGTATCAGATGCAAGGGATCAATACTCCAGAGAATGGACTGGACAGGAGACCCACCTCAAGTACAGGTGGGTCTGTAATGTTTCTGACAACTCCCACGATGCTCCTGTATACAGTGGATTCACTTGCAAACAACAGGAGACTGACAAGCACTCACCTTGACATTGCTCACAGCAAGGCATGGCAGTTATGGGGAAAGGGGCTGGCACAGGAGTAACCGGACAGTAAGCATCCAGAAACTGTTGGCTCTCATTTCAAGAACAAACCCATTGTTCCCACTGACTCCTAAAAAAGCACATTGTGGTACCACCAATTGGCAGCCGCCGCCAATTATACCACTAATATAAGTAACCCCCAACAGGATGAAATGGATGCAAACAGCAGGTGTGTGGGAATGTGCCACTGTGGGCTGACAATGACCTTGCTGGCCATCTAGGAGAACTTAATAGTCAGGGAAGGAAGCAGAAGTCCCAATGACAGCAATGATGTACACATGGGTAGCTCCAATACCCTAGGGCCCGAATGTATGCAGAGTTGAGAAATCACAGTATGGGAAAGCCCCCAGCACTGGAAGGCACGGGTGTGGACCTTCCAAACACAGGACCATTCTTTCCACATTTCCTCTGCCTGCACTACCAGTGACCAGGGCATGGGTTCCCCCTGGTCACTTACAAATGCAGGGCCAGAGAGGGCGGGCAGAGGACCTGCTGTCAAATGCAGAAGCTAAGAGCAGCCGGCTCAGCTGAGTAGAAGGACCTAAGAAGTACGTCTAATCCTATAAAAACTCCTTCCACACTGCCAACAGTGAGACAGAGGAAGATACACAGCAAGAGCTCTTAGGCTGTGGAACTGGGGGTGGGGGTGGGGGGCTCCTGATCCTAAGGAAAACAGCTTAGTTGTCCTGCTTTCTGGAGTATAAGGCCTTGCCCTGGCTAGTTTTACGTCAACTTCACATAAAGTAGTTATCTGAAAGGGGGGAGCCTCAATTGAGAAAATGCCATCTTAAGATCCAGGGGCAGTTTCTTAATTAGTGATTGATTAATGGGGGAGGACCCAGCCCATTGTGAGTGGGCCCATCCCTGGGCTGGTGGTCCTGGGTTCTTTAAGAAAGCAGACTGAGCAAGCCATGGGGAGCAAGCCAGTTGGCAGCACCCCTCCATGGCCTCTGCATCAGCTCCTGCCTCCAGGTTCTGGTCCTGTTTGAGTTCCTGTCCTGACTTCCTTCAGTGATGAACGGTGATATGAAGTGTAAGCCAAATACACCCCTTCCTCTCCAAGCTGCGTTGGTCATGGTGTTTCGTCTCAGCAGTAGAAACCCTAACTAAGACAGACCTGGGTCCAGGGGGATAGGATGCAGCATCATCCTTGGTGCTTCTGGTTCAGCCCTCCTGCTGCTAGCCTACCAAACGCAAGGAGGATCACAGAACTCTGGACTGAAGCAGGCACGACAATCAGACGTACGTCAGTTTCCCAAAGGAGAGTAAAAGGGGGCACTGGACGCAGGCACCTTCATCTTCTGTCCATTTACTTCCCAGTCTATCCCATTCCTGGGGACCGGTGAGCATCCCTTGGGGACAGCCGTCTTTTTTTTTTTTAAGATTTATTTATTCGTGTATATGAGTGCTCTGTCTTCATGCACACCAGGAGGAATCTGATACCACTATAGATGATTGTGAGCCATCACATGGTTGCTGGGAATTGAACTCAAGACCTCTGGAAGAGTCGTCAAGTGCTCTTAATGCTGCGCCATCTCTCCAGCCCCCATCTTTTTTTTTTAATTTATTGATTTTATTAAAGTTTTTATTTATTTTCCCATATATGGACCAGTTTCCCCTCCCTCCTCTCCTCTTATTCCTTCCCGGATCCTCCCATCTCCCCCCACCACCACTCCTTCATTCCTTCATCTCCGGTCAGAAAGGGACAGGCCTCCCAAGGGCGTCAACAAAGCATGACACATCAAGTTGAGGCAAGACCAAGCTCCTCCCCCTGCATCAAGGCTGGGTGAGGCATCCCAGCATGGGGAATAGGTTCCCAAAAGCCAGTTCAAGCGCCAGGGACAGGTCCTGATCCCAATGCTAGGAGCCCCACAAACAGACCAAGCTACACAACTGGGGGGCAGCCATCTTAAGTACAGGCCTTACCATGGGAGCGCTGTGGTCCAGCTGCTTCCTGGCAGGATGGAGATGCCTCTCGTGGCCCCTCTGCACCAAGGTGTCAGTTCTGCAGTAATCAAGAAGCATGTAAATAAGCATCTAAATGTCACCTGTTCAAATCGGTCCTGGGCAGCACACGAAGAGTTCCCGGTGCAATGGCCACATAGACCCGATACAAGGGAGGCTACAGTAGTCGTGACTCAGCATTTTCTCGTGGAAAAAAGAAAGACGTTGGCAGCATCACAGGAACAACAAATCATCTAGGACAGAGCACTTTGCAGATCTTTTGTGCAAGCTCTGATGCACTGCAGCGGTTCGAGAAGGTTCCTTATCCTCTCTCCTGTCAAAGAACCTCAAATGGAAAAATACTGGCTGACTGTCTAACTGCCAACTTCGAGGACCTCAGACCTGTGCAATCATCATTTCAGAAAAGACTGGACCTGCCATCCACAAGAAGACCAATTTAAGGTCAAAATGAGAAACTGGTTTCATTCACACCACAGATACTGCAGAGATGCCATGCAGCCAGATACAGATCTGCCTTTGCAGCTTCCCTACCTGAGAAGGAAGGAACTATATTCACACAGGACTGGGGTCTTTTCTGGCCTGAGTCCAGACTCCCAAGGCTTTTCTGCACGGGTCTTTGCCTGGCTGTCATCAGAACCTGGCTGAAGTCCACACCACCCCTCTGCTGGTGCCCATGGGAAGGCTATTAGGTGCCATTCTGGCCTCAAGGTGCACCCGCAGCACTTACCTCGACTCCTGCTTCCTGGGCCGTGATGCCCACCAGCGAGTTCGAAGAGTAGGAGGGGAGAGGCCTTGGCTGCCGCAGACCAGCTTCGTCATCCTTCGTGGTGTCAAGAGGGCCTGGCAGCCAAGGCCCAAGCAAGCACTGGGGATGGGGTGTCACTGCAAGGCGCCACACTGGAGTCCCAGTGCTGCGTCCTTGGGTCCTGGGCGCATCAACTTGAAAGGATGCAGATTGGAACGCGCGGGTCAACAGTCAGAGGACCCTGTGTAGAAAACGACAAGCAGCTTCGGATGCCATCTAAGTCCGAGACACCGGGGCTCAGCCCCCAACCCTCCACCTGCGCCCAGGCGCACTGGCACCGCGTCCCCAGGTCACCCTCCCCGAAGGCTCCCTCCCCAGAGGTTGGGCCATCAGCCCAGGGAGGCCGAGGTCGCAGCCCACCACCGAGTTCCTCCCGAGTCCCCCGGGGAAGTCCATAGTCCGCAAGGGTGGGAGAATCACACCTGCACCCTAACCTCCGCGGTCCTTAGTTTCCCCGGGTAAAGGAGACTGGAGGCCTTGGAAGCGGCCAAGAGCGCAGATCCGAAGTGGCCTGGCGAGCTGAGATGTGAGGTAAAGTGCGCGTGAGTGTCGCAGTGTGGGACTGCGCAGGACGCTCCCCAACAACCGCAGTGTCTACACAGCTGCGGCTGCGCGCGCTGCGGGCTCCAGCTGCACCAATGTGCGCGCAGCCAGTGCGCGTGGCTCTGCAGCGTCCCCTGCGGGAGTAGAGCTGAAATGCTAATCCCCCAACAAGGCTCTCCTTCCTCATCCCTAGCTTTCATTCTATCAAACCGTTTTTTCCATCCATGCTTCCATTTTGCCAGAAAATATGTGTGGAACATCAGCTTTCTCTCTTCTTATTTGTCATCTATCCTTTCGTCCCATCTGTCCTCTCATGCATCTAAATATCCATCCCCCCCCACCCACGCATTGTGACTCATTCACTCATGCATGCATCTGTCTGCCTGTCCGTCTATCCATCTATCCATTCACTCATCTTTTCATTAACCTACCCATCTAGATTTGCGCCCACCCAAAGTATCTACCGAGGAGCTACTTCGTATCAAGGGCCAGACTACGCACTAGAAATAAAAAGTATAAGACAGACACAATCCAGGCTGGAGAGATGGCTCAGAGGTTATGAGCACTGACTGCTCTTCCAGAGGTCCCGAGTTCAATTCCCAGCAACCACATGGTGGCTCACAACCATCTATAATGAGATCTGGTGCCCTCTTCTGGTGTGCAGACATACATACAAACAGAACACTGTATACATTTAAAAAAAAAAAAAAAAAGACAGACACAGTCCCTAACTTGGTTACTTTTTTTTTTTTTTTTTTTTTTTTTTTTTTTTTTTTTTTTTGGTTTTTCGAGACAGGGTTTCTCTGTGTAGCTTTGCGCCTTTCCTGGAACTCACATGGTAGTCCAGGCTGGCCTCGAACTCACAGAGATCCGCCTGGCTCTGCCTCCCGAGTGCTGGGATTAAAGGCGTGCGCCACCACCGCCCGGCTCTTGGTTACTTTTTAATGAACTCAATAAACAAATAGGCCAGAAAATTCGATCGTTAAAAATCATAAGCATAGCCGGGTGGTGGTGACGCACTCCTTTAATTCCAGGATTCCGGAGGCAGAGGCAGACGGATCTCTGTGAGTTTGAGGCCAGCCTGTTCTACAAAGAGAGTTCCAGGACAGCCAGGGCTGTTACACAGAGGAACCCTGTCTCTAAATATCACCATCACCCCCTAAAATTAGAAGCGCTGCAACGGAAATAGGCATAGCGGTAGGCAAGTTGTGACAGTGGTGACCTGTTTATCCCGGGCTTTCTCTGAAGAAAAGACATTTAATCTAAAGTCTGGTGGAAAACAAGGATGAATCATGAAATGTTCACTGTATTGTATTCAGAAGTATGTTAAAAAGTGAAGTAAAGTGGAGACAAAGTTCTTGCAAATAGGTCAACAATGCTTCTTACTTTGGTTTGGTTTGGTTTGCTTGATACAGGGTCTGTACATTCTCCTGGCTGCCCTGGAACTCACAGAGATCCGACTGCTCCTGCCTCCTGAGTGCTGGGGTTAAAGATGTGTGCCACCATACCTGGCTGTTTCTAGTGCTTTTTTTTTAATGTTGATTTTTGTATGTACGTGTGTGTGTGTGTGTGTGTGTGTGTGTGTGTGTGTGTGTGTTGAGCACACATGTGCCATGGTGCACATTTAGATATCGGAGGACAACTTCCAAGAGTTGGTTCTCTTCTTCTACCATGTGGCCTAGGATTTGACCTCAGGTTGCCATTCGTGGTGACAAGTGACCTTACTGGTTGAGCCATCTAGCCTGGTCCAGCCATGTTTTCCCAGTGTGATATGACTGCAATGCCTGCTCTCAATGCAGCAAAGGAATGCAACACAAAAAAGTTCAGGCGTTTTGACCCATTTAATTATTATGCCAGTATTACGGACTAAATGGACTTCCTCCCCTAAGTCCATTCTGTAATCCTACCTCCTAGCATGGAGTTGCAGGATCTTTCAGGGGTGATCAGGTCATGAGGGTGGAGCCCCTTCTAAGAGTCCTCTGGAGCTTGCTTCTCCCTTCTGCCATTTGGAGAGAATAGAAAGGTAGCCATACAGGGGTGGGGTGGGGGTGGGGGGATCACCAGATACTGAATCTGCAGGGGCCTTGACCTCAGACTCCCAGTGTGTCACTGTGACAAAATGCTGTGGAGCAATCTTTGTACACTGTAAATATGTATTCCTCTCATTGGTTAATAAAGAACTGACTGGCTGATGGCTAGGCAGGAAAAAAGGTAGGAGAAGAAGGGCAGAGTCAAAGGAGATACAGTACATAGATTAATAGAAATGGATTAATTTAAGTTATAAAATCAAGCTTTAAAAAAGCCTGAGCTATCGGCCAAGCATTTATAATTAATATTAAGTCTCTGTGTGGTTATTTGGGGAGTGACTTGTGGGGCAGAAAAGTCATGTCTACAACAAAATACTGAGAAAATCAACTTAAAAGAGGAGAGATGTTTTAGCTTTTGATCATTTGGCCTTGTGGTTTCTGGGCCTGCAGTGAGGCAGATTGTTAAGTGGTCATGACAAGGAGTACACAGCGAATACAAACCTGCTTGGGGTGGCCAGAGAGCAAAAGAGAAAGAGCTGAGCATCTAATACCCCCCACCAGTGTGTCTCCAGTCACCTCTCCTCCTTCCACTAGGCTCTACCTACCAAGTCATTAGCACATGGCCTTTGGGGTCATTTCTACTCCAAAGCATAACATCCAGGCTCCAGAACTACAGGAGATAGATTTCTATTGTTTATAAGCCATCCAGTTTACTGTATTTTGTTATGCCCCCTTAAATGGACTCAGAGCCCAATTCTATAAGGCAAACATTAGCATCATTCTGTTTGCTGGTAAGGTAATAAAAGCTGGGACTGTTTGATGGACTTACTCCATGTCATAGAGTTCACATTTCAAGAACTGTGCGTGCTCTAAGTGTCAACCACACTTACAAGCTGAGAGTTAGCCTACTGTTTTACTGATGCTGGCAGAGGACAGGACTGTATTAGTAGTCGACTGGAAAAAGTAGTCGACAGAGCAGGCTAGGGAGATGGCTCAGTGGTTAAAACACTTGCCACACAAGCGTGAAGATCCCCAGAAACCCACGTAAATGAGCATGTCAGCCCACATGTAATTCTAGCCTCAGAAGGTAGAGACAGGGGACCCCAGAGCAAGCAGGCTAGCTAGGCTAGCTGTATCTATGAACTCCAGTTTTTACTGAGAGACCCTGCCTCAGTGAAGAAAGTGGAAGAGCAGTTGAGGCGGATTCCCAGCATCAACTTTAGGCCTCTACATTTGTGCACACACATGCAAAAAAAAGTATGCATGCATACCATACACATGCATACACACACACACACACACACACACACACACACACACACACACACAGAGACAGAGACAGAGAGAGATGAAAATGGAGGGTAAGCAGTAGACAGAGCTTCATGTTCGGTTGGTTCCTAGTGCCTTGGAATCTGGGGTAAGGGTGGCACAGTACCTCTGCTGTGAATCTACAGCTGGTGTTTGCTGGTAATTCACCATTTTATAGAGAGCAGAACTAAGCTGCTTTTAGTTTATGAGGGGTGTTTTCCTTATCTCACAAGGACACAGGCTGCAAACCCTTAAGAAACTACCCAGATAGCCAGCAGTCAGGGCCTTGCATTGGTTTCTACCCAGCAGTAATGTACACAGATGTTCAGGACCCACAGCAGACGACCCTTCCCAACAGTGGATAGCACAGTCAAGCCAGACCCAGAAAGCAATCCAAGGGATGACAGGTCCCAGGATGGGGACCTCACAGGTGGGATCAGTGTTCATATAAGGAAGATCCTAGAGGGCCTCTCTGCCCTTTGTACCATATGAGACATATCTCCCTGTCCTTGCATTTGAAAGTGATCCCCAGCCACCTGCCTGTGCCTTGATCTGGTTGTTGCAGCCAGAGGCACATGGAAAGTATGCTCTGGGTTCAAGGGCCCTTGACCATTCCTGGGGACCAGGTGCTTTTCATGTATATGGCTTCCTTTCTGCCCAATGTTCAGACCGCAGGGTATTATGGACTGTGGTTTCCTTGTGTGGTCTTTCTTTTCTTTTCTAAAATAAATGTATATATTTTTGAAAGTTTTTTTCTTTTTGATTTTTTGAGACAGGATTTTTCTGTGTAACAGTTCTGGCTGTCCTGGAACTCACTCTGTAGACCAGGCTGGCCCTGAACTCACAGAGATCTGCCTGTCTCTGCCTCCTGAGTGCTGGGATTGAAGGTGTGTGCCACTGCTGCCCTGCTAAAGTTATTTTTAGTATTTGTAAATATATGTATGTGTCTGTGTGTGAATGGGTATGTGCACATGAACTCAGGTCCTCTGGAAGAGCAGTACATGTATTTAATCCTTGGGCCATCTTTACATCTCCTTGCTTGGTCTTTCTGAGTTCATTTCTTGGCTAAATCCAGACTCTGTGAGTCAATGTTCTTTGTCCCCAGAATATGGTTAGCTATAAGGGGTGGCTGAAGGCCACAGAGCAAGATCTTGCCTCACTAACCAGGAAAATTGTAATTAACTGGTGGAGGGCTGAGTGTGATGTTGGGCATACATGGGAATTGCCCAGGTTGCCAAAGAAAGATGGCTTCTTGGGGGTGATAGGAGCTGGAGAGTTTTGTGGAATTCGATGTAGCAAGGGGCAAAAAAAGATTTGTCAGGGCCAGGAAGGAAGAGGAAGGCTCTGAAGCTAAAGCCTGAAAGGAATGAGGGACCCATGTGCGGAGTGTGGGGAGTGAGGAACCAGATGTAGCAGAATCGTTACATCTTGTGGTCTGGTCCAAAACCCTGATAGAAGAGACAGAGCGAGCAGTGCTCATTGGAGTCCACTGTAGAAGGGAATCAGCTCCTCCTGAAATTGGAGAGAAAGTCCTTGTGCCTCAGGCTACTCTTGCTCCTATGGCCTGAAAAATGAATAAAAGAAAAACCAATGAAAGGATTAAAAACCTGGTACATAAATAAAACTAATGAGCTGGGAGTGGTGATGCCTGCCTGCAGACCCAGCACTCAGGAGGCAGGAGTGGAAGGACCTGTTCAAGGCCGACTGAG